CTCAGGGAAGCCAAATTTAACTCCATTTTCCACACACGCAGAGCGGTGGCTGAGGATGATGGGTCAGGTAAGGAGGCTTTCTCTCACTCCCTGTTGGAGCTGCTGCTGCTTGTTGTAGTAATTTAGGGAATTATGGTAATGCAGCAGGCTCAGAGTTGGACAGAGGCTTAGATTTGCTGTGCTACCCAGCCTGAAAGACTCTGCCTCTAAGCCATACCTGGGTGTGTAAATACAGCTGCCCCTGTGCATCCAACATTAAAACAAGTCCCCAGTTCTGAATAGGATCTTACAGTGGTGAAAACACATTTCATTGCCCCAGTGGAATTCAGGTTGCAGTCCTGGAAAGTGTTACTGTGAGGGGAGATGGGAAAGGAGAAGTTTGAAGTTTGTGGGGAGATCTTTTATCCCATCAGCACCTGCCTTAAGTGCGTGTTGGAGGCGTTCACTTAAAATTGTCAACCAGTTCGCTTTTGTATCCCATAAAAACAGAACTTCAACTTTCTTTGGTGCAATTATTTATTAAAAACACCCAAAAAGACAAGACAAAAAAATTTTAAAATAAATAAAATCGAGTCCCACACCCCAGAAATAGTCTGGTTCCATGTGGAAAGCCAGTTTCCAGGCAGGCTTTTCTCAGGGACAGAGGCCACAGGAGGAAATCGGTGTTACATAAATCGGGATCTGCCGTCCTGATCTGAATAAATTTTTAAATAATTTTGCATAAATTAAAAAAAAAAGTTAAATTATGCATGGCGTGCATAATTTCGCCCTTTTGTAAATGATGTTCCCCCAGTTAATGACTCAAGAACGTGGAGCAGCCCCTGGAGTTGGCACAGTTAGACCTTCCAGGGCTCCATCTATAGATAGATATTCCTTAAGCTCAGCGAGAGGCCGGGAGCTCGCGCTTGGCTACGATCCCTTCCCTGTTTTTGATGACTTAAGAGGGCTGTTCAGGACAGAGCATCAGCCTATATGAACACTTATCAACCAGCCTGAACAAGCCAGATTATTTAATTAGCCCTATTAGGACCCTTCTATTTTTATAACTTATTTATGAGTGTTCTTGCTAAGCTTAGAAAAGGTCTAGGCTTCAGATTTCCAAAAGACGTTTTTGGCTCGTGTGGTTAATCTGGAGGGGTTTTATATCGTGACTCCACTCCATCCTCATCCTAAGGAAACACAGAGAGGCTCTGAAAAGCAGTTGAAGTTGGGTAATTCACTCCTGAAATCCTGACCTGCAGCTTTCAGGCACAGGGAATTTTTGATGCCCACGCACGAGGGACATTTGCTCTCTTGCCTTAGACCACCAAAACTCCAGAGAGAATTATTACTGACCACCCATTTTTGAAGCGTTTTGGATCCCCCCCAGGGCAGGGATGTTGCTCAGCCCCCATTTAAAGACTGCCATGCAGCGAGGGTGGTGCTCTGTGTCCAGTGCTGGTAGAACTGGTTGATGCTTGTTTTGAGCACCTGCTCAGCCACCCTTTCAGTGAGATCCACGATCTGTGTTTTCTTCTGGACTTTCTGAGAGGAGCAGGAAACGACTTGATGAAATAACTGTTAAAATGAAATCAAGCATTCATGTTCACCAAAAGAAAAAAAAAATATCTTAAAGCAGCTGTGTCCAGAACCTGATACTGTGTCGTGGTTATACCTTCAGTGTTTGAAAGGGCCCTAATGTCATCACAGGGGTGGGACTCTTACTCTGCCACCTCCCAAAACGAAATCCATTTGCAAAGAAAAGGAAAAAAAAAAAAAAAAAGGTAAAATTTGCATGTTCTGAAGTCAGTCTGTGAGCTTTTCCTTTCTGGTGAACCACTCAGGGCTAGTTTGGAAGAAGGAACTCCCCAGGTATGGAGTAACTTTGTGCTTGGTTGAAAAAAAAAAGTAAATCTCACTGGTGGTAAGTCCTGGCTTGTGGCTCGAAGCTCTTGTTGTTCTGGTATCAGTAAAGAAACAGTTAATTAAACAAAGATCTGTCCCAGGGTGATGCTGAAACGGTACCTGGATTTGGAAATAAGGTTCAGGTGTTTTGAAAGCAGAGGCCATCCGTGTGAATTAGGGTTCCGTCCAAGACTATCCCAGACAAATGTGGGTTGGATAAATCCAGGCAGGTGGCATCTGCCAGCTCATGTCTGAAGATCTTATCCCACTTCAGCTGCAGGTGAACGTGCAGAATTGCATCCTCTTAGTCAGCAGAGAAGTCTCTAGATGTGCTCTAGTGCGTTACGTCACCAGTAAATTATTTTAATAGCAAATAAGGCTTTATTACTTTTGCTCTTGCTTTATTGCATTTGCTGCTCTACATTCAATATGTACAGCATTGGCACAAGGTAGCTTGCATGCTCACCACTGCATTAGCAGGAGAAATGGAAACTGGGTTTCCAAGACCATAATACTTCGAATTTGGTACTGTTAAATCCAGAAGAAAAACAAAAAAAACCCCAAAACCCCCAAATAAAATCCCAAACAAAAAACCCCAAACAGCTGTTGCACATCGGGCTCCTGTAGAAAGCCAGGAAATAACAGCTTATAAATGAAGCAAATTTAGTTGTGGAAGGTACCGAGATGAGACAAAATTAATTACGGTTTCCAAAGTACCAGGGTGTTTTTGGAGGCAGCTTTCAGGTTAAGACAGAACTATGAGCAATTCAGGATAGAAATACAAATAAAAAAAGGGAAGATAATAAAGAATGTAAAACATCCTTGGCACAGTGTTTGAATGTGGAGGGTGCTGATCAAGTGAACTCTGCACGCAGCTTTAGGCAACACTGAAAAAAATTCCCCTCCTTGCTCCACCAGTAAATATTGAACAGCACACTGAAATAATGGGGAATTAAAAAATGGGAGGTAAACTTAACGTGGATTAATGTTGCTTTGGTGAATGTGTTGAGTAAACTGCTCAGTGTAGCAGTTGGATTTGCCGGCGCGCGTACCTGTCTAAGTGAGGGGATTCGTGCGTGGGGCTGGAGAGCTCTGCATGCAAAACCACTACAGGAAGGAGCAGAGTCTTGAGGAAACAGGCATGACATGGAGCAGAATGGAAATTTGTATAAATATCCAAAGAAAAAAATATGGAGTTTAGTTTTGAAAGCAGATCTTTCACTTGCCATAGTAATCCTAATATTGTGCGTGTTGTGTAAGGGCTGTTGAACCTGAGGAAGGTCCTTGCACATGTGGATGTGCCATTTTTTTTCCATTGACATCATTTGTGGTAGGAGGACAGTGGCTCCCTGGCCTGGTTCCCTGGATCCCTCCAGGATCCCTTCCAGGTTTCCACTCTTCCTGGTGGAAGGTGAAGCAGGAACAACAGGGCTGATTTGCTGCAGTTGCTTTGGATTTGTACCCTACTGCCTCACAGACAGAGGTGCCACATGGAAAGTCACTGTGCTCAAGATTCTTGTGCAATTATCTCCTCAAATGCCGGCTTTTTTTATAGCCCTTTATGACCTTTGCATGGCATCACCACAGATGGTCAGCACCGTGACCAGGCACCTCTGGCTGAGGTACCTCAGAGGGGGGAGTATTCACTGAGTGTTGTTTTACCCTTTCCACAACTTGGACCCAACCTGGAGAGAGGTTTCCATGTAAACAGTTTGCAAATCCAGCAGCACCTATTTAACCGTGTTACTGGAGAACTGCTGGCAGAGAACTGGTGGCTGTTGCCAGTGACCCCCAGCCGTTAAACCTGTCTCAGACATGAGGGGCCCCTGAACGGCTGCTTAGGCAAAGAACAGCTCCCTGCAGTCCGTGTGAAGACACGGTCTGTGTAAGGTCAGTAGGGAAGCACAGAGCTGCTCCTCCCGCTGGGATTCCCCCACTGCTCAGAAACTGCAGGAGGCTTTTTGGAAGGCAGCAGTGCCACGGCACAGGGAGCTTGGAGAGCAGCTTCCCTGGGCACATCTGGAAAAGGAGCTTGAAAAAAGCTGTGTGCTGCTAGAAGTCCTGGGTCTGTGCGGTTAGATGGATCCCTGGCAGGAGAATCATCTGCAGGCTGAAAACATCAGTCTCAGTGTTTGTCACTGTCCTTGTCATCTTCCATCCCTTACTGCTTTTAGGGAAACAGGCCAAGCACTGCTAAAATTCTCTGACAGTTGAACTGCATGTGGTGTAATTCCTTCTTGTCCAAGACATTGTCTGAAATATTAAGTATTTTTCTCCTTATTTGCCGTTTCTGTTGAAAAAAGAATTGTATCTTGGAGGGTTGTAACTCCACATCTTCCCTCCCTTTCATCCTTCACACTGTTCACAGTTGTGAAAACTTGTTTTCTGAGCAGTTAATACTAAAGGAAACCTTCAAGTGTAATGCTGTCAAGCTGAACACAGAAAAAGGTGAAGCTCACAACCAGAAAAGCAGTAACTTCTGAGTGGGGTTTCTTATCAGCGCCCTGCAGAGGTGCAGCGTGATTTAGAACTAATTTTTCACCTTAATTCATGAATAAGACCAGTATTTTTCATAGGTAAATTATATATGAAAAAGTGGGTATTTTATTATTTCCTTTTTTTTTTTCCCTTTAAGTTTTTTTTTTTTTTCAAAGCTTGATACATGGCAGCGTTGGATCAAGGCACACACAAGACTGGCCAAAGGGCGTACAAAGCACTTTGGTTCTTTAGTTGAAGAAACAGAGTGATTATGGCAACAAAGAGCAGCTTGGGGTTTAAACATGAAATAGCTCATAGTCCAGCAGGAAGGCAGAAAGAAATACAGATTTATCAAGGAAATTTCTGGAAAACTGTGACAGTAATGGGCAGTATTCCTGACTGTAAAGGCAGTGTCCTGGACACAGACCTGTACATGCTTTGGAAGAGCTGCATTCCCAGCTGTCTGCTCACCTTTGGGACTACAGTTTTTGAGACCTTGCTTATATTGCCTTGGCTTTCATCCTGCTCTCCTTTCTTGTGAAACTGCACTTTCAGCCCTTTCTCTGTTCAGAGCAGTTTCAAAGTGCTGTCTCTCTCCCTGCCCTTTTCTCCCAAATGCCTGTGAGCATCCATCCCTATTTTCTCTGTAATACACAGACCACTGGCTTTGATAACCAAAAATCTATGCCTAAATTCTATCTACTCCCTTGGTTTGTAGAGCCTAGCACTCTTTTTTTTTTTGTTTGTTTGTTTTCTTCCCCCTCCCTTTTTATAAAATTCCTTGTTAGGAATTCCATTGTTTTCTTCTAGGGATCAATTTTTTTTTTTCTTAACACGTGTCAAACGCTTCAGTCTCACGCATGTCATCACCTGGATTATTTGCTTTTAAATTGGATTTCACCATTGTTGAATGGATATATATCCAGACAGCTGATATTGCCCATTACTACACACATTTTTGTTTATTGAATATTGTCGTGGTTTACAGATTTAATAGACCCAACATGGAAAGTCCGGTGAGTTTTTGCAACCACTTCTTGATCTTCCTGATTTGCCAGGTTCAACATTATTTTATTGATACCAAAGTGAAAAATGGCCTGTGCTTACACTTACAAGGATCTCAGATGAATGTTCTGACTGCTCAACACGGCAAGAAAATTCACTTTCACAGTCAACAAGTCATCTTACTCAGTAGAACACAAAAGTTAAATGGTCTGTAACTTCAATATTAGCAAGGAAAATACAGTACAAATTACTAAAAAATACTAAAATATAGAATTGTGGTCAGGTATCCCCACTACATTAATCGCAGCAGTAGCCTGAAATTTGAAACTTTTAATAAAAAGTTCTTAAATATAAATTATATGGCAAATGTACAGTACATTGCTTTGTCAGTCTTTTAATCCAGTGTTTTGCAGTAGAACAGCAACTGTTAAGTCAGTCTTTTCTCGTTTTTCTTTAAAAAACCAAAACAAACCCAAAAAAACCAACAAAACCCCAAGCAGTCTTTCGTGTCCCCCTCAGTATCATGAGTGTGAATGATCTGAATCTGGAATACCACTGTCTCTGTAGCTCCTGTTACTACTGCTTTCACTGTGGCTGTTCTTGTACAGGTTCATGCCGTTGGGTGGGAAAATGGTGTGTATTACAAACTCCTCCTTGGACACCTGGTCGTTGGTGATGGGTATCATCTGGAAGGACGTCTCCCTGATTTCCAGGATGGAGTTGTCCTTCTTGGTTCCCGCTTCGGCGTAGTCGTCCTTTCTCCGGCGTCCCTTGCTGTAGGCGCAGTTCCGGGAGAACAGGGAGCCGTTCCTGTGCACGTACCAGCACACCAGGGCCAGCAGCGCGATGGCCACCAGCGCCACCGCGCCGCCGATGATGGCGGCCAGGGGCAGGCTGGAGTTCTTGTAGGGCTCCTTCTCCTGCTCCCGGTTGAGGGTGGTGGTGGGGTTGTACATCTTGAGCGGGGCCGTCTCGGTCTCGATGCACTCGGGCGTCTCGTCGGAGAGATAGATGTTGCTGGTTTCCATGGGAACCATGCACACACGGTACGGCGATTCCGGCTCCAGGGCTGTCAGCAAGTAGTCGCTTCTGTCGCCCGTGACTATGGTCTCAGTTATAGATCCAAAGGCGGGGCTGTGGCCCATCTTGAGCCAGCTCAGTCTCAGAGCCGTCATCGGCAGTGCAACTTTCCAGGAGATGTGGATGGTCTCCGTGCTGACGGATTTCACGAAGATGGTGATGATTTTGCGTACCGGGCTCGCTGTGGTTCTGTAGTTTTTGTTCAGGTTGGGAGTCTTGACGTCGGGTTGTTTGGTCACGGACGCCGGCCAGTGGCCCTGGGCAGGGTACAGCGTGTTGGGGACCGCGGTGGTGATTTGGATGGTGCTGATGGCACCGTCGTCCTTACAGTCAAACAGCTCTGCGCTGAGGTCTTTGATGGCCATCCCGCGCACTTTCTCGGGCGCCTGGCACATCAGTCCGCGCACGTTCACTTTCAGGGGCAGCGACTGCAACCAGTCCCGCACCCACTTCATTTTGCACCCGCAGTGCCAGGGGTTGTTGCGCAGGAAGAGCTGGGTGATGTTGTCCAGGTCATCGAAGACGCCCTGAGGTAAATTGCTGAGATTGTTGTTGGACATGTCCAGTCGGTACAGCTGCCGCAGGTACGAGAAAGCGTTGGGTGGCACGCGGTTGATGTGGTTCTCTTGGAGGTAAAGCTTCCTTAGGTTCGTTCCCGGCAAATTTACCGGCGCGGCTGTGAGGGAGTTGCGGACCAGCGACAGCTCTGTGAGATTGACCAGGTTGACGAAGACTTTGTCTCCCAATCCGTGGTTGTTCAGGAGATTTCCGTCTAAAACAAGGCGTTTTAGGTTTGTAAGGTCTTGGAGGGACAGCTCAGAAATGGTGGAGATGCGATTATCGTCCAAGCGCAGCTCTTCTATGGTTTTAGGCAAACCCCAGGGGATGGTGCTGAGGTGATTTCGGGAGAGGAAAAGGAGCCTGAGATAGATGTTGTCCCGGAAAGCTCCATCCTCGATGCTAACGGCGGAAACGGAATTATCATCCAAATGCAGTTCTTCCAGATAAGGAATTTTGGAAAGTGAATCATAAGTAATGGTCCTTATATTATTCTCCTGCAAATGCAGTTCCTTAACATACTTAGGGAGGTTAGTGGGGAATTCATCTAGGCTGTTGTGGTATAAATATATTCTTTCCACCCTAAGCAAGTTCTTCAGTTCTGAAGGAATCCCAGCATTATTTATTTGATTGTTCTGAAGGAAGAGGGTGGTTGCATCCTCTGGGATTCCTGTAGGAATAGACGTCAAATCGCGATCATTACAATAAATGAAACCCACATCACAGCGACAAACTGAAGGGCATGGCTTGGCACTAACAGAACAAGGTGCCATGTCAAGTAACAGCCCTATTTTAGTCCAAACTAGGAAGATGCTCCAGGTTACACTTAACATGGTCAGGAATGATGAGATTTGTATACAGTTCTGATCTTCAACAAATCTAAAAAAACCAAACAAACAAAATTATCCAGATCATCAGTGGAAGAAACTGCAGTGAAAAAATTCAACATTACAGAAGATATCTGAAACACACACACACACACACATTAAACCAAAATTCAAGCTCACAGACACATTTTGCTTTCTTTTCCTTACATCAGTAATTCTACCACATCTTGTACTAATTCAATTAACTTAATAGGTTATTCTGCAAAGTGACTGAAAATAATGTAATTGAGTATGTCTGATCCGTGAGTTGTTTTGCTTAAGCAGGAAGGCTCTTCTTAAGGATTCCTTCACATTTCATGCATACAGTCTTTGTTCACAGATACCAGATAAGTACAGAGTTAAGAGTCACACCAGAGTTCAAGTAAATCATTCTATATCTGAAAGATAAGAAGTAATTCCTAAGCCAGCTAACTACCCCAGGAGCCCTCGAGTGAACTATAAAACCCTTACCAAACCCACAAGTCAGCGGTAGCTATTTTGGAGGCCCCAAAGAAAGCCCTAATGGCAAAGCAGGATGGGCAGAGCAAATAAGGAAGGGCCAGCTAAGCCCTTTTCCCAAGGCCTTCTGAGTACTCCACGCCGCGTTGTGCAACTCCCAAACCCCGTGGCCTCCTTCGCTCGCTGCTCAAGCCAGGAGTGTTTCGAAAGGTGAACGTTACAGTCGGTAGAGCTCTGCCTTTCTAGCTGGCTGGATGAAGCATTTCATTACATGCTCAATTTCATGTTTAAATATTTGTCATTCTCAAAAGTCTTCTTTACTAGGCAGCACGCTAATCAGAGACTATTTGGCGGGTTTAACCACGTTTTCCCATCTTATTAGTAGCATAATAGAAATTAACTCTTGAGACTGGGATCGTACTTTGCATCAGTAGTGTGTTTGTACACTGAGTTCAGGTGATTAGCATTTTTATAGCTTTTAAGACAACATAATTCAATTACCATTGTAATTAGGGTTGTGAGAACTCCTGCAAGATGACCTGTGCATTAAGCAGTGTCACGACCTTTCCTCTTGTGGGTTCATATATTAATTGAACTTTATTCTCCGAGGCACGAAAAGGAAAATAAATTAATATTGATCCTACCGTATTTAAAGGTACGAGTAAGTTTTGTGCTTGAGGTTATCCAATAAAGGAATGTCTGTCTCTCCAGTCACTCTCAGGGTTTACTCCATGGAGCAGTTCTGTCCTTGGAGGTGTTTACTCAGATGGTCCCTGTTGGTGGTGTGTGTTCCCTGGCTCCTGGCACGACGCTCAATGAGCATTCCAACCAAGATTTACCATGGTACATAAGCACACCAGGCCAGGGCGTAGAAAAGCTTCAGCTTCCCACTATGTGTGTCCTCATGTGAATGGAGAGCCCCTTTTGTTTGGTTTAATGCCTTTAGCAGGAGTTACTTCCTTTGTAACTCTCACAAACTCTTCTGTGCAGCCGAGCAGTCGGAGGAGGCAACTTCAGCACCCCGTGATGGAAACCATTCATTATGCTGAGGCTGGAAGGGTGGCAGCCTCTTCAGGAGGGCAGGGAAGGGTCCTTTTTCCTATCCAGAACCATCCAAGTGAGACCTTTGTACAGTAGCTACATCCCAATACATCCACTCCTCTTTGGGAGAACCATTTTCCAACTCTTGTATCTTTTAAAGCTTCCTCCAGGTTTGTAAATGCAGGAAAGGATTCCTCCCGTGCTGCAGGAAGGCAAGTTACTCTACCACAGAAAAGTTAGATGGTCTTCTTCATTAAAAAAGAAAAAAAAAAAAAAACCAAACACACAAGAAACTATTTCCTTCCCAGAAAACTCCCCTTGGAAAGCTTTCCTCGAACTCTTTAATTTCCTGCAAAAGTAAAAACAAAAAAAATTGGAATTAATAACAACCGGTGGGCACTAGAACTAAGAGTTGCATCCCCTGAACACGTGACTTGCACACCTTGTTGTCCCCAAACATTGGTATTTCAGCAAAATACAAACATTTTGATGCTTAGTCTCATGCTGGAACTGTATTTTCCCTTGTTTCAGTAGGAAAACAAAGGCAGAGAGTAACAGAGTATTGGGAAATGATGTTTCCTACCTGCTGACCAGTGATACCTCCTGGGAGGAGGCTGAAATGGTTGCTTGCTTTGTGCTCCTGATAAATAGAGAGAGATGATGATGATCCTCTCCCTGGTTTCAAAAGTGAAGGGAGCCAGTTACTGTTCAGGAGGGACTGGGTGAAAGGGGATGTGTTTTGGCTAAACTACTGTATGAATATTTCCCGTTTTGCACCGTGCTGATTTGGAGTCAGGGACTGGCCAGGCATCTGCATCAGCTCTTTGGCAACAGAGACACATATGTGGATTTAGTCTGTAAAATTCCAGAAAATAAGAAAATCATTATCTCTTTTGTTTGTTCATGTTTCCTAAAGAGCTCTTAATTCTTTTGAACTGGGATTTTTAACTTGGGCTACTCTCTTATCACCACTGCAGGAAGTATCCAGTGAGATAGCAGTCTGTGTCCCCCGAGAGCCTGCAGGCAGCATGTTTGAAATGGAAGTGGTTAAATCTGAAATTTCAAACAAAATAAAATAATCCTGAATGTTTCCTCGCTGTTCCCTTTGGTGACAGCACATTTGTCCCCAGCACAATCCTTGGAAATGCTCGTCAGGAGCGGCGTGCTGAGTAAGCCTTGCTTTGCTGCCTCTTCCTGGGAGCAAAACTAGAGCAGCTTCTGGCCCTTCATAAAATATTCAACCCAAACACAAACAACCCAAGCTCAATTTTTTAAACTGCCTTTTGCCATTTGCGGCAGGTCCATCACGGGAACGGATCAGTCCCTGCTCCTGCAGCAACAGGAAATCTGCAGGGATGCAGAATTACTGAGGTAGAAATGAGGCTGCTCTTTTTCACAAGAAAAAACATGAACATAACTTTAAAAAAAAACCCAAAATCCCTGCCTTTTCAGAGTTGGTGTGAGTGCCCAGCGAGGGAAGGGAGAAGAAGCCTTTTCTGTGCTGCTGCAGCTCCTCTGAGCTTTGTTTTCTGCACCTCGTTTTCAGCCAGTTGTGCAATGAAAAAGAGGAGCTCAGAATGAGAGACCCCCACTGTGGCATAAATATTTTAACATCATGCTTTATCCAAGGCAAAAACTCAGTCTGTGTGGCCACATTTTAGACTAGAAGGCAGTGCATGTTTATTGGTAACTTATGTAATTGGGGTAAATTATATAATCATTGCAAAATGGAACAAAAAGCTCTGTATTCTTCCAGGGTCCGGTTTTCTTGGGCTGTGTTACTGAAGTGTTTGGGGGAAGAAGGCCAGGCCCTATTCCTGAAACTTTGAAATAAACAGCTGCTTAACAGCTGTAGGACAAAAAAAAATAGGTATCTCTTAGGAACTAATGTGAAGTCGTGACAGAAGGCATTTTCTGGAAGGGCATTGTGAAGCAGGAATATAAATCCCTTGATTAGGCCTTTGAAGGCTACAGTAACTTTTAAGTACTTAAAATCATAAATTTCCTTTAGAACTCCGAGCTGTAAAAAACTTGTTAGTATTAAGTAAAAGGTTGGCTCCAGTATATGCATACATTACCTAGATCCATGCACACTCGGAAAGTAACTTCATTTGTTTTACCTTTCTAGCACATAAACTGTTTCCTCTGTGCTCCATTTGATAGTCATCTCTTCATTTATTGCCACTATTATAATAGCAGTAATGTGGAGGATTAAAATGAAAGCACTAAAGCTCATTAAGTTCCTGGAATTTTTTTTTTTTTTTCATTTCATCCCTCCCCTCTCAAAATTACGTGAAAACAAGGAAGGGGGGGGAAAGAAAAGGTCTCTTTGGAGAAGAGGACACTGTTTCAAAAATGTGGATTAAGACTATACCCCCCACTCCCTTTTCTAAACTTAGAATAGTTTTCTCCAGGTCTTGATTGTTTGATATCTCGCACTTCCCTTTTATAGCTCGAGCCAGTAGCTGAAAACAATGTTTTTGCATATCAAAGGCTCCAGTGATCTGTCTACAGAGAAGAAGGGAATCCTGCTGCCATGCTCCCAACTTTCCCCTTCTTGAGCTGTCTCTAAATATTCCCTGACACCAAGTCATTAGAGCTGATCCGGGGAGGGATGAAAAGAAAAGTGACCCCCACTGGTACAGACACTGTGTCCAGGTTTCTGCACCATCAGACTGGGAGGCTTCATGGACACATGGTTTTGAAAGGAGCCATTACTTTTGAACAGAGCAGGTTTTAGAAAGTCTGGGCTAAAATTTTTAAATGCAAAAATCACCTTTTTTATTTTTTTGGTAACAAAAGTAACATCAGAACGGTAGCTTTTTTTTTTTTTTTGGGCTTATCTTTTATGACGAGTTGAATGTTTTCCTGAACTTTGCTGAACCACATGGTTAAATTACTTTTCCTGGGAGTGTGAAAGCAAGGGAATTACCAGAGATAGTGGGTGATGTGTGAGCCTTGCACGTGGACTTATCGCTTTGGCACAGCCAGGCAGGGGGGCACCTCATTTTAAAATGTTCAAAGTAATTTGTGCTAGACAAGAAAAAAATGCACCTAAGAAGAACATTGCATTTATGCTGAGGTCTGGAGCCCAGCTGCACTCCCTGTCCTGCAGGCAGGCAATGGCATAACAAAATAAATAGTTCAGGTATATTTGACAAGCTTGAGATACTTTTTTTTTTTTCTTAAAAATGATGTCAAAGATATCTTTTCTTTCCCAGCTGTGATAAAATGTGAATAAAATCAAGACCTGCCCTCACTCGAGGTCACACAAATGCTTATTTGAATTTCTAATCTATCTCTGTGTTCTCCAGCTGGAACTCTGGTAGTCCAGTGGCTCTTTTCTGACCATCAAAGTAACAGGGGGCAGGGAAACCCCTCGGTATTTTTTAGGTTATAAATGACAAAAGTGTCATTTAAAGTCACCTTTAGAATATACATACTTGATAAGCCAAACAATTTGCTTAATCAGTTTACTTCCATTCCAGAGCTGCCTCTGTATTTGTTTAGAATCTGAAGCGTATCAGAAACACAAAATGTGCTTATTTTTTCAAATACTTGTGAAGTCTCCCCACTGCTTCTACTGCCAGTTGTGCTTGCAAAGGTCGTGCTGCTGCTTAAACAGCTCCACCAACTTGTTTTCTTTTTCGAAAGAAGTTCCACCGTGCTAACCCAGACTTTAAAACAATGCCTATACTTTGTTTTCTTTAAGTGTATTACTCAGGGTTAGTTGACAGTGACAGCAAAATGCTTTCTAAGCACCCTGTCTAGGAGCTGCAATTTCCACGATCATCGGATTTCAGGAAGGTGCCCCAGTCTTTTGTTTGGTGCTGGGCGAGCAGAAGGTCCTCTCGCTGTCTTTGCGAGGGGGAAAGAATGCAGAGGAGTTTGTTAAAGTGAGAGTGAGCCCTGCAGTCAGGTTGTGTCTCTGCCTGGTGGTGAAATTTGGTTAATTTTAATATTTTTTTTCCTGCTGGAGATGGTTTTATTTCCTTGCAAGAAAAGTTGCTCCCCTCTCTAGTGCAGTAGGAATGTAATGCGGCTTTTGCCTTCTCAGGTCTAACTCAAGTGTCTTAAAAAATGCAAATTTTTATGTGATCTTCCCTCAAATGCAAGTGAATCTGACTTGAGGAATGGATCCTGAGTGCAAGCTTGACTCCACGCCTAAGATCAGCCAAACCAGTATTTGCTGTAGAGGATGGAAATGAACTCAGAGTGGTTTTCCCTTCTGAAGTTTACTTCTAAAACCTTGCCTTAAGTTTTGAAGATGCTGGGTTGCAAAGACCCAGACTTTTGTTACTCTGTTCCCACTCACTCTCTTGTTTTGACTACTCTGCTGCTGCAAAGTTTGTGTGTTAAAAAAGCACTTTGAGGGGGAGTCTTCTGCAATGGCTTTCTGCTTTGTGTTTTAGTGCTCTTTGAGTTTAGCCAATTATGGCTTCTAGGTTTTCTTTTGAGAGCTGCTGCTGAGGTAACTCACCCAGGCTTGAAATAAAAGAATAGAGAACAAATGCTGCCATTGTTTCAAGGGGAAAAAAAAAATCTATTTTTCCCCCTCTCTTGACAAGTTTAGGTAGAATTATACCTGATAGGGAGTTCCTGGCACAGAACCCCAGACGTGTAAAAATGTTACTCAAACACTGGATTGAGTTTCACTAGTTTTGTTTCTTTCCCCTCTAAAACAGCTGTTTGCTCATCTCCTGATTAATAAATGTGCTCCTCAAAATTTAGGATTCTTACAGCTCCTGAGAGGCAGAGAGCAGACTTAGTGATGATATAATATATTTACTGAGCACTTTTCCAGATTCCTGCCCTGAGTGGTGTTTGCCTGCTCATTAAAAATAAATGCGAGCAATCACATATTAATTCTTCTGTGCATTCCTGTGCTTTGAAGTGATGAAGTAAAAAAAAAAACAAAACAAAACCCAAAAACTTGAGGGCTAACTAGCCATTAGCATCCATGTTTCCTGCTGGAAGGAGACAAAGATGGCCATCTCCCAACTGAAGCCACTTCAAATAACTGCGGCGCAAAGTTCGCAAACTCCAGCACTTGCTTGGATTAGTCACCGAGCCTTACACAATATCTGACAGCTTCCAGCTACTGGAGGCAGAGGAGAAATTAAAAAGAAAGGGAAAAAAAAAAATTAAAATCCCAGCAAGCCAGAAACTCATCTTTATTCGGTTCTTGCTGTAAAGTGTATCCCACTCCATTTCTGGAGATTAAAGCTCGCTGCGAGTTTACTACAGAGTTTTTTTGCCCACTGGGGGGTGGTACATGCTACAAAACCTGTGCTTTTGAAGAGCCACAAGTCAGATGTTTTTTCTGCTGCTGTCCAGTTTTCTCTGCTTTAATTACAACAAAGTCTCCCGTAGAGAAAAACAGAGGCGGCCTCCAAAGGAGGGAATTTAAAAAAAAAAAAAAAATCACTCTTTCACAGAATTTACAGAATTTCCCATGCTGATTGTATTAACTCTGCAGTATTTATCTAGTTGTTCTCCAGTTAAAATGGTATAAATGCACCAGAAAAAAAAAAAAAAAGAGAATTAGCATTTTAAATATATGCCAAGGGCTGTCACTGTTTTCTGTGTATCAGAGGAGCACAGAAGGCAGGAAAAAATACAGCTTTTAGAAGTGATTAAATGTGGATGGCAAAACAGAAAAGCTTGATAGCAGCATGAATAGAAGGATTAGAATAACCTCAGTATATTTTAAGGTAATTGGCTTTCTGTAAACCCAGGTATACCTTTTGTTTATGAAATATTTGAAACCCGATCTTAAACAGGGCTGTATTGTATGGGCTTGGAATAAATTAAAGGAAACTTGAGGGTGGGTTTTCTTTTGAGGGAGGGAAGGGCACTGAAACCTCTCGAGTATGACCTAATGTGTGGCATATATTGACAAGGAAAACACATACTGATCTTTCTGTTCTATGGCAAATAATTCTTGTCTTTGTACACTTGAATTGACAAATGCATTTTTCAGTCTAATTCAAAGAAATGTTCATTAAGACGCCGTATCCCCAGGCAATAGATAGTGAGCATAATTGATGCTTCTATCTTTTTTGGGCAGTATATTTTACACAAGGAAATTGGGGTCAGGATAATGAACTGGTTTTTTTAAAGTCTGAACATTTTGAGCCTCTTCTTGCTCTGCAGAGGAAAAGTATAAACGATTTACATGGAAATGCAGAGCGTGAATCTTTTTTTTTTTTTTTCTTCCCCCCTAAGAGGCGACGAGAAAACGCATTCAGTTGCGTCCGTGCTCTTTCACAGGATTTAAGATTTAATTGTAAAGTAATTCTGAATTTCGGTGTGAATCTGGTGCAGAAAATACTCCCCTGTACTCTGCGAACTGGCCAGAACTGATCCCTCGCAGAAGGGGAGCGACTTGCCTTGAGCCTAAATTACCAAGCCGTCGCTAAGAGCATTCCCCGAATTAGTTAATCACAGACACTGGTCCTGGCGTTCGCAGCGCTCCTCTCGCAACTTCGCCTGGATGTGCCAGGGTTGAGCTCAAACCCCTTTGCGGTCGGAGAGATTAAAATTGAGGCGACCTCAAAGAGCAGGGCTGAGCCAGAGAGGCAGCTGTCTGTGCAAGAGCTGAGCTTTTATTCACCGAGGGGATGAGCTTGGAAACTGAGCAGCAACCAAAAAAAAAAAAAAAAAAGAGAGAAAAAACCAACCCAACCAACCAACCCCAAAATCACAGAGCTGTGCCTGGATGCTGAGAGCTATGGCAGATGCTGGGAGGCAGGACGGCTGCGCTGGGAAATGCAGGGAGATACGCGGGCTTCGCCTGAGCAACTAAGTTGCAGCTCCTAATTGCGTTCGAGGAAATGGGTTAAAAACAAAGGTTCTGACACATCCAGCAGTCGCGAAATGGTTTTTGGGCTCAGAATCAACGTAGAGATGATTCGTGCACAGGAGTGAGAGGCGAACTATTTATTTGAGAGCCATCTATAAACGAAATTTTGCTGCGCTCCTACGAGGGCAGGCGACCACTTAATACACGGAAAGCAGCTGAAAAGTTGATTAAAACTAGGCGAGGACCTATGGAACGGCAGGGGGATTACCAGCCGGCTCTCCTTCCCACGGAAAGTGGGGCGTCGGGGCGGGAATCGGGGCCTGTTGCATTCCTTCTTCCAGTGCAACCATTTTGTTGCCCATCTCCTCGCCCGCAGACTTTGTGGTGCGGGGGGGGATACAGCGCTGCGCAGGGGCTTTTTTTTTTTTTTTTTTTTTCCCTTTTTCTTCCCCCTAAATAGATGTCAGCACGCAGGGAGGGGATGCATGGAAGGAGGGATGGAAGTTTCCAAACCGGGGGAAGAGATGCGGGGTGCGGGCAGGAGGGTTCCCCCCCCTCCTCCCTTCCCCGTCCATCCGCGCTGCGCCGCGGGGGTCCCGCGTCGCGGGGAGCCGGCGCTGCCCTGAGGGTCCCCCCGCGGAGGGCGCGTTTGCGGCGGCTCCTTCTCGCGGGGGGCAGCGCGGGCACCGCACCCGCGCCGCGGGGAGCGCCCCGAGAGCGCTGCGGGCAGCGGGGTCCGGCAGGGCGGGCGGGCTCGCTCTGCCGCCGCAGCGCTGGGAAGCGGCTGGTGGGATGCGGGAGCCGCGTCCCGCCGCATCCTCTCGTCCTCCTTCCTCCTCCTTCCTCCCTCCACCTCTGCAACCCGCGCAGCTCCCGCGGAGCGGGAGGGGGAAGGAGCGGTGATGCCGCGCTTACCTGCGGACGGGGCGCGGGGCGCTGCGGGCGGCGGTGGCGGTGCTGTGTTGCGGTGCGGTGTGAGCAGGGAGCGTGTCCGGCGCGGTCGCTGGATGTGGATCCGGCTCTGGATGTGTCTCTGTCTGTGGAGCGGGCTCAGCGCTGCCGGCGGGGCTGCCGCGGACGGAGCCGGGCGCGCGCGCCCCTCAAGTCGCGGCGGCGGCGGCGGAGCCGCGGGGGCGGGGCCGCGCGTCACCAACGGGGCGGGGCCGCTGCGCGCGGGGGCGGGGCCGTGCGGGGAGGGGAGCGGGGCGGCCGCCAGGGGGCGCGGCAGGCGGCGGCACGGCCGGGCCGAGGCGGGCTGGGGCGGCCGGGGCGCCTCAGAGGCGCGGGGGCTCTGGGAAGCTTCCTTCTTGACCCTCCTCTAAGTTTTGTTTCCCCTCCGCCCCCCTCCTCCCCCTTTTTTAATTTTTTTTTCCCCACTTTTTGTCGTGGTGGTGCCGCTGTCAGCCGTGGCGGGAGCCGAGGCGGCGCCCCTTCATCCCCTCCCTCAGTTCGTCCCCCGGCGCCCGTTTCGGTGCCCGGCGTTGGGCTTGGGCGGGTGACCCCCCCGGTTCATCTCGTTCCCCACCGCCATTAGGCCCAAGGACCCGTGCGGGTCACGAGTTGAAAAATACTGAGAAATAGATAAATAAAAAGAAGTAAATAAATAAATAATTGAACGTAAATAAATTGGTACGTTCCCTCAGCCCCTGTAGTCGGAGGTCCGGGAGCGCTCCCATCACTCCTCTGGCATCTCCCTGCACATGAGGTGCTGCAGGCAGGGGCTTCGGGGTGTGGAAGGGTTTTCCTGAGGCGTTTGGTCCTGTTTGGGATCAGCAGATGGATAAGAGCTGCCTGGTTCTGTGCTCAGCCCAGGACGGCCCTTTCCAGGACATATCTTATGGTGCCCAACAGGACTGAGGTTGAGGGGTGTTGGGGCCTGGCTGACGTCCTTAGGGATTTTTTTCTTGGAAAACAAGTTTTCTGTCCTCCTAACACAACCAAAAATTACTGGTGGTCATAGGGCAAGCTAGAAAATACCTTCCCCAGGTGTTTTTTCCCAAAAACCCCATTATTCGTAGCTTACAAAAAGCATGCAAGTAGTGTTGGCTTTGGCCAATGAAGTTGATGTTTCCATTAGATTTTCTTTAAATTTTCCATCAAAGCGGGATTTCCTTCACGGCACTCAGCCTCTGCCTTCGTGAGCGTCCTGCTCTCTTTGTCAGCAGTGCACAGGTGATCTTGGCCACCTCCTGCATGGTTTCGACCAGTGCGTTGGCCAGCACAAGGAGCCGATATCCAGGAGAAGGGAAGCTCCCCAAAATTCTCTTCCCTGATCCCAGTTATCCTCCAGTTGTACTTTTTGCTGCTATCGGAAGACAGGAGAGCTCCTTTAAGTTCATAGAACGCTTGACTTCTGTAAATCCTATGAAAATTACCACATAGTTGCACTTTCTGTGCAAAGTTTGAATACTTCAGTTCCTGTTGTTTGATTTTTGGCAAAAGCAGATGAAAGTATCAAACATTCTTTCTCGAGAGGAATGTTAGGAAATTTTTGATGTAGTTGGCATTTGGGTGTTTGAAATGTTATATACTTGCTATCTTTATTCAACTAATTAGAAAAAAATAATTCTGAATTGATTTTCCTTGACAAGGAAGGAAAAGGGATTTTTTTTTTTTTCTCTGTCACTTCAATTCTAATCTTTCCCTGAGGAGAGTAAGAACTAATAACAAATTGACTTCAGGTTAAGGTACAAGTGTCTGTATTGACAGTCCTGGCAGTGAGCTGTGCCCTGACCAGCTCAGGATAATCAGCTGTGTTGCATATACCTCTTAATGCATATATATATATATATATATATATATATATATATATGACATGTTACATGCATGCAGTAGATACATATGTACATGTATTATACAAACATGGGTAGGACTGGTACTGCAGCGTGCCCAGGTCTTACCACGTGGGACAGAACAGCGATTTGAAACGCTGCAGATATCCTGGGGATTTTTTTTTTTCTTTCAAATGAGATTCTTTAAAGATGAGAGCAGTGTTTTTACAAAAAAACGTTGTGTATTTGGTATTTCTCACGCCTGACTTAGTTGCATTAGTGAACAGATTCCAGGGTTACGTCGCTGTGCCGTGTTGCTGAGCCTTAAGATAGATCTGTGGGATACTCATAAAAGATGTATATGGTCTATCTCTCAACCTAATTCCAAGGCCAGCCCAGTGCTGATGGCATCATTTAGAAATTACACTGCGTATTCCTGGAGAATTCCAAAGGGCATGTGAGAAATAATTAGATTTTACCAGGTCACAGCTGCTCTGGAGCACTAAAAGGTCTTTAATATGCTGTAGCAGCAGATTTTTGACTGCGTTCTTTTATGTAAACTCCGTAAATATACTTCTTAAGGACGTGGGTAGCCTTTAAAATACTCTCCACAAAAAAAAAAACTGTTGTACATGGAGAGCTGGACCATGTTCTCCATCTTCTTCCTAAAGTGTAGAAACCCATGACCTCTTGAATTGCAGGAGAACGGGTAAAACTCTGCTAATACGGATGGAGTTACTCATATATTGGGAATAAAAATATGAATATTTAACACAGACGTGCTGAAGCCGAGGAATATAATGAGATATTTTAATTGAATTTCCGAGTTAAAATATTCTTTTACCTGTATTTTGTTTATAGAATTAATTAATGCTCATGACACTGAGATTAAAGTTCTTGTCAGACCTATAGGGAAATTACCTTTCGGAAGACGTGGCAATCTTGTTAACGCTTCATGGGCTGAGAGAGTTTGGAAGGTGTCGTGGTGGGAAATTCAGAGTACTCACACTACATAATGCATCTCACAGAACGTTAATGCATCTCAAGTTTATAACACTGCACTTGGAAGGTGCTGGTAGGTCAAGGTGATAATGATGATGGTTGTTTCTTTTTCCTGAGCATCCTGATGTTCTGATAAGAATCAAAGATCTGGGAACTCCCTCAGCCCAAGGTTGACCTGAATGGCTCTTGCTGTGACTCGACAGCAGTTTTGGATATACTTGGTCCTGCTGTGGATCCAGTTCCAGTCAGAAAGGTTTCCAGGCAGGACATTTATGAAATAATGAGAAACCAAACACACTGATCGGGCAGTGAAGTTGGAGCTGAGATCACTCACCCTTGGTGCACGGGGAGAGAGCTGTCTTCGAGCACCAAAACTGGAGCCTTACTTCTTTGAGCTTCCCAAGGACAGATTTCTGTCAGATAAAGCTGAGAGTAATAGTTTGATATTCAGTGGAATAAGCTGAAATGAACGTTAGTGGGTTTTAGCTTTAGGCTTTTATCGGGTTGTATTGATTTTTCAAAGCAAGCTGTCCCAAATCCAAGCTGGGCATTGGCTGATTTGTAGAGACATCTAAGGAAAGAGGACACTGTAATATATGAACTTCGGTATGATACATGTCCTGTAAGGTTTCCTGGTATTGACTAAGTGCAGTTTCTCAGCAAACACGTATTGCATTTTATATTCGAGTTTAATCTTTAAGCCGTCTGAACCGTTTCAGAATTAGAATCCAATTTGGGATATATTCCTTCCGAACGTAAATGCCTGTCAAATTCAGCTTGCAGCATTGTGTATGTACATAGAGTACCTTGTCAAAGTTGGTGCAGCAGCTCTGTATCAAATGCAACAGAAATGAAAATGCAATCATTTAGCTATTCGAGCTAAAAATGTATGAAGGGTCTACAACTAAATGCTCTTTTAAAATTTTGTGGGCCCAAGAGTGCTCCTTTCTTTTCCCCTGCCAGAGGAATGTGAGGGATAATAGTTGTGACTGTAGTTATTTTGTCTGTCTGTAAGGGCCAGGAGGTTAGACCACTGCACCTGCATTTTGTGCCATTCCTCTCCCTTCTCTCCGTGCTTTCTCCCTGTTCTTCTTTCCAGCTCTCCCAAACAGCCCTCGGGGAAAAGCCCTGTCAGCTCAGAAACACCCATGATGCAATCGCATCTCTGCTTTCCCTCAGGCAAATAAACAGCTTTGCTTGTTGAGATCATGTGCTGTGGATGGCAAAATGAAGTAACCTAATGGGGTACTTGAAATTGCCAAGCCTTTGAGTAAGGTATTTATTTTTTATCATTTACAGAACATACTGAAATGGGTAAAGAAAACTGGACGACGTAAAGTTCATACCAAGTGAATTTGCTCCTAACACTTAGGGTTGATTTTCGTATTTTAGAAGGCAGTCCTCTCTATTTGTTAGGTGTCAAACCATGAAGCCACCACGACAGCATTTTTAGGAGCAGCAGAGCTAACTCCTTCTACAAGGAGCATGGAGTTTTTTCCTTGCTTGCTTGACAAAGTAAGCGGTGCTGTCAGAACAGAATAGACTTTCCGTGCGCCTGACGTGGCTTTGAAAGTGTGTTAAAGGAAGGGAAAAAATAGTGTTCTGCCAAAACAACCTTGAGAACCTTAACTGAGATTGTTAGTAACGTGTAGTGTGTGCGAGGAAGAATCCTGTAAAGAAAAAACAAAACAAAACAAAAAACAAAACACCAAACTTGCTGTTCTGCCCTCAGGGTAGTTCTTACATTTGCAAATTCACATTTTTATGGATGCAGCCTATACCCAGAGCCCGAACAAAGTGGTAAATGCATTTTTACACCTGCCTCCATGAAAAGGGTTCTAGTGGTACAGAAAGACTTAAACAAATAAGAAACCTAAACCTCCTGAGATGGCACAAAAGAGAAATTCTGGTGCAGTTTTGGTCTGCCTTTCTTGGAGCTTTAATTGCTGCTGATGCAACAGCTGCCCAGAGCCGGCCTTTGAGGATCGAGGGATATGCAAGGAAGTGGTGATTTGGGGCTTGCTAAGAAGGGGCCTGGGGTGGATAACTCCTTTTTATCCACGTTCCTGTTTTGCCTGTTGGTGTTGGAACTCTTTGCTTCTCCTGAGCAGACAACAGTCTGGGGAGAATTCACGTTTCTTGTTGCATTTCCATATGCAGTTTTCATAGATCTCAGTTCTTCACAGCTTTACGCTGAGAGCTTGGAAGTCACATGCTTTCTCTTGAGTGTATTTTCAGGCCATGAAAATGGCTTTTCTGGTCCTTACTCTTTGCTTTTACTTCCTGATAGCCCCAGAGGATTTTCCATCCCTGTCTTCCCTCTCTGCATTCTCAGCCTGTCT